ACACCTATGACCCCAGGAACAAAGTAAATGCAAAAATACCAAGTGATTACTTCTGAAGATGAAATTCAGAATTCTTCATCAGTTTTTAACTTCTTATAAGAAACTTGGACAACAGAATTTACCTCCATTAGTCTTGTACTAACAAATACTAATTTCTCTGTTGAAATAAATTGAGCTATTTCTCCCATATCTGCAGTATGGTACAAAGCAGCAGCATCTCTCAGGACTGTAATAATGTAAAACCTCCTAATATTGACTAACCTGAATGCTTCTATTTTCATATATACTTTTAAGGGGTTTAACCTTTCTCTGAGTAGGAGTGTTTACAAAATGTCATTTGCTGATTCATACCACACTTCTCCTTGCTCCTAAAGTTTCAGCAGATAAGCTCTCAAATGAAGTGCAAATAGGGGCACAAACACAGCAAGATAATTAACTTGGACCACACGAGCCCTCTCTTGGATGTAATTTCCATACTTTGTGACATAATACGGTCGTCCATGTTCACTACACACAGAGACCCACACATGAACAGTATTTCTCATTTACCACCTCTTAAGAAGTGATGATTAGCCAGTCTTACTTCATTCTCCTCCACATCCATAAACCCAGATACAGAGGGAGGGTTGTGCCTTTCTAAATGCATTTGTTTTTTGAGAGTTTCTGTGGCAGCTTTGAACATTGCTGGTAGGCCTAATCTACAGTCAGAGAGTATTCCTTGAGGATACAGCTTAACATACAACCTATGATCTGCATGTACAAAAGTATTTTAACTTGTGTACAAAATCCTGTAGAGCTTGCAAATCGAAAACAATTTTTAAAATTAAATTACTATGATGCATAGTATACTGAAAGTTAATTTGTCTCTCTGAGAGAAATTGTGACCTTTGCAAATGCCATGATATATAGCACTAAAGGGGATCATAAATTTTGGCATTTGTTCAAACAGTTTCAAGGTTTCAAACTGAGATCTGAGTCAGAAAATAAATCTTTCAATCATATAGCTGCAGCCTTTATTTCTAACTTTAGCTCATGGCATCTTCGTTTTGGGACCTCACCTGATGCAGAATTTTACACCATCTGATGTGCTGATTTTACTCTAGTTTTAGGTATGCATTTTAACACAGAGCTAGCACAACCCACCTGCTCCGTGACTCAATTGTGATGCCAAATACTCCTCTTCATTAGAATTTATTTCTAAGTTGAACATCAGGGAGGATGAATTTTGCATACAAGAGATCAATACAGGGATGCACCTTGATAAATAGGCTACATTCCTTTATGATCTCTGTGATCAACTGAAATTTTTATCATTTTATTCAAAGAAACTCAGTTGTCAAATTTCTGATAGTTCTTCCCACACACTGAAACCAAGAAGGCAGAAAAGTAAGTGCAGAATTGCCAAACAAGTCACAGCTACTTTTCTAATTTTTTTCAGCTCATAGTGAAACTAAAACAGATTCTAAATTAAAAAGGAACTGCAAAATGTGTTTCGACTTTTAAAATTTAAAAAAAAAGAAGTAGCTAGACGTTAAATTACTTTTAGTCCTTTTGATTAGACTTTGAGTATTATTTTTGAGCATAAAAACGTATTTCCCCAATCCTTGTTAGCTGTCATATAACTGCTTTCCATGTGACAGATACTTCTATTTACCTGAGCATATATAATGCATCATATTCAAACAGGCTGAACAACTATTTTAAATTGAATAGAAAACATAGATGTATAAGTTGCATTGGCTACACCTACACCTGTTCTACTGTTTGACAGTATCCCTTGATGCCCATATTTAAAGACTTGCAAGCCTGTCCTCTATAATCTTCATACCTACCCTATCTACCAGAAAAAGTTCTTTCTCAGCTTTCCTTACTGTTTCTGACATTATTTCTTTACTGTGACTCTAGCTTGAACTGACTTGTTCTACCTGACAAAAATCACTAAGAAGCAGACTGGCTCTACTCACGGGTAAAGCAACTGGTTTTTCTCAAAACGTTCTAAATTTAATGTGGCCTAAAAGAAGTGTTTAAGATGATAGTTTTGTGCCTAGCCTTGAGAAGGTCACATAATCGTTCAGTGCTGCCATTTGTTAATGGAGCGAATTCAAAAGGAACATTGCAGATTGTCCCTGTATAATTTCACAGAGCGTTGTTCTGATCAAATTTTGTATTTGGGAACTGAAGCAGGAAACTGACATATTACAACTTTAAAACTATCCTGTTGCTAAGGCAGATACTTGTGGCTTCCAGAGTAGAGACCTGGTTGAGTGGGATGCTCTGAAAGAACCAGTCTGGGAAAGCAGGTGTGTTACTACTGTTGAAAATAGGGCTGCCAATGGACATTTTGGGTTGCAAGACAGGGCTGTCTTTACTTCAGATTAGCCTCACTGATTCCAGCAGAACTAGATGAACACAAATAGACGATGATGGGATCCTCACTCAGACAAAGCTTTGAGGCAGATATACCCAGTTCTAAAGCAATCTCTACCTTCAACTGAAGGGCTTCCAAACACAGATAAACTGCTACGTTGGTAGATATACTAGAATAAAGAACTTTTAAAATAGGAAAATCTTAATGTTTCTAGGTAAAACAGAGTAGAAATGACAAAGTTACTTCAGAGCTCTCCTTTAGCCTAGTATGTATTCACTGCTGCTTTATTGCTTCCAGGCTTATTTTGTTTGACTCAGTGACTTTCTGAATGGCAATAAACCCTGCTCAGACTCTTCTGGTCCTATACTGTGTGCTTGATACTCCCATTTCTCCTAGATGAGATCAGCATAGTTAACAAAGCATTTTCCTCTCAGTAGGCATAAAGTATAGGGGAAACAGAGGGACTTAAAAGTTCAGTGTCCTGTGGTGTTTCATGTGGAGGTGTTGACAAAAGATTTTATCAACCCATTTTCTTTATAAAACACTACTGCACAGGACACATAGCAGCCAGCAGTGATTAGCCTTGCAGAAAGCACTGACTGACAAACTATAGTTTTGTGGCCTTAGCAAACTGGCAGAGCTGCAATTGTAGAATGCCTCCCCATAACCCAATCCAACCCTTTTCTATCCATACTTGATCCTTCCAGTATCTATGGCAGCATAACGCTCTAATTCAACCCTCTCTAGGAAAAGCCACTTAAGCAGATTCATTACCTACAATATGCTAATTTCCTATTGTGCATTTGCACTCCATAAAGTGCCCACAGAGGAATAAAGAAGTCTGCCTTCGAGCTCAGCTAGATTTTTTTTTTTGCCATAACCTTCTAAAAAATTCAGGTTTTGTTCATTTCTGTTTTGATCCATGTGACAGGTAGTTTTACCCAGAAAACACAAGGTCTAACTTTCGTAATGTAAGTATAACTAAACAGATGGTTATTAAGTGATTCATGAAGATCTAAAATAAAAGATGGAAAAATTAAATATACCACATGGCATTCTGCAGCCTGTGAAGAAGGAAGAACTGTAGACTTTTGTCCCAAATCCTTTGAAGACATCTTTGAAGTGTCTGGAGAAATACTAGGTGGATGTTCTTGGATTTCAGGCTCTGCTTTATTGTCAGGGGTGGGAGCTATCTGAACGGAAAGAGATGCTGTGTGTATCTCAGGCATGGGGTTACAGGCAGGTGAGATAGGCCTTTGTGGAAATACTGGCTCTTCAACAGGCTTCAGCTGTTGCTGTGAATTACAATGACTGCTGCTACTCACTGGGTCACGTGTCCGGGTTAATTTCAGGGTAGATACCTTACGTTTTTGAGACTGTTGCCTTTGGCCTTGATGGAGAGTAGTACTAATACCAGCTACTGTGCTTGTGCCTGCACTGGAGATTGAGGTCAGTGGTTTAATGATTTTTTGTGCATAGGACACACTTGTGTTAGATATCTGAGAAGACATTATCTCCTGAACAGACTTCTCGTTAGTGCAATATGCAGTATCTGTGGGAAGATGTTTAGCTGGACCGGCTGTTACTGCCTGGAGATTAATTTCGTTCTTGCGATTAGTTACTCTTGCTTTCCGAAAACTTTCTTTTCTAGGGGGTGGCAGAGGTGCCTTATTTGCCAAAAGCATCCACACACAGCAAAATAACATTGAAGAAGAAACAGAAAGAAAGTAAATGTTAGCAGGAGATATAACTCAGTTTGGCTTTTATCTTTAAATAATGGAACTAGCAACTTAAGGGCCTTCATCCCACCATTGCTCGATTCAAGGGACAACTAAATTGGTCAGGCTCCCACCACCTTTGCCTGTGCATGGCTGTACAGCTTCTGTTTAGAAAGCCAGATGTTCCATTTGCTCAGAGTGAACTGGGATCAGAAGGGAGCCCACAAATGTCCATTTTCTTTTAAAAAAACAATTATTACACTGAATAAGAATTACTATTGTGAAATTGTTCAGACATGCAAGTACTCCATGATCTTTGATAGCAAGCTATTATTCACAGGTAATACACATATATAAAACACACAGATCCTCTTAAACGTTTGAACTAAAACAGTAACAGAGACAATATTAAAATTGGTAAGTTGATATTTTTTTGACAAATAAATGTTTCTACGTGGTTAATTTTTCTGTGTGTGCCTTTTTCATGTGCTCTAATTACACTATTCTGCAAAATGGGCAGAAGCATTTTCTACCTTATAATTAATAAACTTTATTCTCAGATATTTTGATGACTGGTGCATTTTTCCAAGTGTAAAATATTAATAAACACTCTTTGAAGTCTGGGAACACTCCTAGAAAGCTTTAACTTGTGTATGACCTACTTTTATTAAGCTGTCTGTCTTGCTCATTGAAAGCAATTTCTGGTAATTAACCTGGAGGCAATACATCCTGTGTGAAGTATGTTTCATCTATTCAGTAAACCAGTTTGTACTGACCCATACGAACAGCGATTTGCACTATATGGAAGACATCAGGACAATGTTCCATACATGTATTCCATCTATATATGCTATCTCCCAAGAATAACTCCCACACAAATAGCGTAGCATGAAACTCAGTGTGTTCAGTTTTACCTGAGATGGTGATTTTTTATCCTGTAGATTTGGGCGCACGCTCCTAAAACCTTTTGCTGAAAGAGATGAACTGCTAGTGTCTCCATTCAGTGTCTCTCTACTTCCGTTATTGTAAGATCTCCAAGCTTTTGTGAAGAAAAAAGAATCAAACCATATTTTTTTTTGTGATTAGCAAATCCCTATATTGCTCTCAACATAGCAACCCATCTGTTAAACAAACAAATGGTTCAGCTACTACATAACTGACCTTGCTATTGTTATTACCATGGAAGTTGTAAGAACAGGGCTAAAGCTGCCACTCTACAGAATATTCACCTTTAAAATTTAGAAAATTCAAGCACCAATACAGCTGGTGCTGGGCAGTTTGAGATCTCCCCACAACTTTCATACAGACTATGGATTTTAACCTTGGGAATCCTTCTGAGACGCTGGCGCTTCAACCTCTGTATAAGGCAGACTGAAGTACTTTCATAGATTAGGTTCCTGAACTACACAGCTGTGTTGCATTTACATCCCAGCTCACATAAAGTTCCTCGGTCATGGCAATTTCACAGCATTTCACTACACTACCCAATTAGTCATTCCAGTAATGCATCTTATTCCCAAATCTGAATGACACCTCAATTTTCCAGCCAACCATGTTTCTTTCTCTATCCTCAGACCTGAAATGCCCTCAAGGTGTTGGCCAAACATAGAGGGATATGCTGAAGACAAAATACTGTAAGAGCTGGGAAAAGTAGCACATTATGTAAGCAGGCTGCTAAGTGAGGTGGGCTGAACTTGCAATCATGAGTAAGGCACTAAAAAGGAAATAGCAAGTATCACTGAATGGTGCCACAGTGATGAAGCTAAAGGTGGCAAATTAGCAATCTGTCTTCTCCCACACAACTCATTTTTCTGACAACATATTCTGTGTTATAGGAAATAACTGCTTTCAAATAAGACCTGAATTTGAGGTCTTAACCACTAGCAATTATGGTTACAATTGCAGGGGTGCTTTCCTAAAGGAGGACGTATAGAGTAAAGAAATCAAATAAATAGAAGATTGTTGTAATCATCCACTTACATGGTATTACACTGATGAATAAATAACATGGTGTTTTATTTACCTGAATCTGGAGACTGAGAATCAGACCCTGAAAAAGAAATATGCAATATTAATTTCTGTTAGAAATTAATTAATTTTGCATAACCACACAAGAGTCTTGATAAGAAGCAGTTCTGCTTGTCTACTGAATAGTCTGTATGTTTTAACTGTTTAAAACATTTTTAGGAAAACATGCTTGATAAATGATTTTTTTAAAGTTAATCTAGCTCCTGACAATCATTTTACAACAACATTCAGATTCTTTTCCTTTAAGAAGAGTTTTTAAAGCAAGTTGCAATAAACAAAGTTTGTAATAAACAAAATCTTTTTCATGCCATGTTATCTTAAACAAAAAACAGGGCACATGAGACCCAAAATATGTATTAATTTATAAATAACTGAATTTTCCTAAGTCTTTCTAGTCTTTTTTCATTCATGGGTACTATGCATAGGCAGAGAAAAATTAAGACCACTTCTTGAAGAGCACTGTAGAAGTAATAGATCTGTCAGCGGAATAGAAACTGGGGTTACCCTTCTCCAG